AAAAAGATTAGTTCTAATGGCATGTTGCTGTTTATAAGCGATACTGCAACATGCATGGTTAAGCCAAGAAAATCAATAAGGGATTGTATCCCGAACTAGTGCATGTGACTTGTCTTGCTCACGCACTGCATCATCTCGCTGAATAAATCCTTGCAAATTACAAAGATACTGACGAACTTGTACCTAGCGTAAAGAAAATGTACTTAAAAGCACCATATCGTATACAGAGTTTTAATCATGGAAGGTACGAAAGGAAGGAGGGGCTAGGCCGACACTATGAGTGAAGCACTGCTCCAAAGCTTCGGTCTCCAGAGGGTGTTTTTTTTTTTTTTTTTTTTGGTTTACATTCAGAAGTGTGCAGACAAGCCTCCACATTATCCATTTAATTTAACAAGAAGCTCATTTGACAGTACTTCGATAGTATTTCGACACACGACAGCTCCATATAAATCGAAAAACGGGACATTTCCGCATAAAAGAAACATTCATTGGGTGATGGATAATAGCAATTTTTATAGTTAAGGGATATTTACGCAAAAATCCTATCTTGGTTATTTTTTGATAACTAACAACAGCGCTTTGATTAGATTTTTAAAACTAAGCGTTGATACAAAAATTAGATTTTAGCAAAAACGTTATGCTTAAGAATGAAAATATTTTACGGTATCCTAAATTGTATCGTCTTTCGAACCCTTGATAGAGTATTCGATACTTTTATTTTATTCCAGACGCCAAATGTTTTAATAAATATTTTTTTTTTAATCCACATATTATTGAACATGCTGTTAAAATTTTTATAAAGAGGTTATAACTGCTCATTTTAAACTCGTCATTTTATTTTTATATAACTGAAAAATAATCACTTTGGGTTTATACCTTTTACTTATTTGGGTTCATTAAAATATAAAATTACCCCCAAATGCTGCAATCCTCATCAAAATTAAAAAATATACACACAGATATGCAAACAAGTTAACTTTTCTTTGATTTGTAAAATTATGTACAGTTTTACATAAATGTGTGGAACAGAAGACGGATACATTTGCGAATCCGGAGGAAGTACCATGTGCGGTCATGATATGACCATGTGAACGTGCCACATTATTAAGACAGCTTATGGAATTGAAAATGGGTAATTAACGGTGGTGCAAAATTGTGTATTCCTGCCAGGAGTTCGAATCATGAATGATCCTCTTATTGATTTCCAGATGTTAAAATGGTATTTATTTCTCCGCCTTCTTAGCGTGTCTTCGTGGTGTAGGTCGCACCTGGGCCGTATTCCAGAGGTCCGTGGTTCGATTCCCGGCGAAAGCGTTGTTAATTTTTCATCTTGCCTGCTTCCAAAAAAATCCTAATGTCTCTACAATTTTTCCCACGCAAGTCTTTTTTTTCTCGGAAATTCGAGGTTTATGCTCGCTTCTTAACGTATGCAGGTCTCATTCATAAACAAAGAATGGCTAACTGGAACATATTACAATATTTTGTCTCAGTATCCTAATTAAAAAGTGGTGAAATTATCGATTCTCAAATTAACTCTTTCCTGGATTAAAGATATCTCTGAGAAATTGAGAGCCCGTAACAGCAAAATAATTGAATACTGATACTGTGTATTGTAGAGTATTCAGCATAAGAAGCTTGCTGTGCTTAATGACAAGCGGTAATGCTTAATGTAATTGGATGGTATTATTTATTCCATTATCAGAGAATTATAAATGGGTAAAATTGAAAATAGATTTTGAGGCTCTGCCAAAAATATTGCTCGAAGGTACTTGTGGACACCAATCCCAGTTTGCATTTAAAAGGCCTCAGTCATATCTAAAAATCTGATGTGTACACACATGACTTCCTTGTACGGAATATTAAATTATAGCATTTTCTTGATTTCATTTAAACTTATTACATTGAATTAAACCTACTTCGCCGACAGCGCCATAACCAACAATAGAATAAATGCATTCTTTAAAATTCACTTTGTTTACCATAGCGACACTCTGGCGCTAGGTTTACTTAACAGTATTATATTTTTATTATAAACTCAGAATGCACAAATGTATATCATTTAAAAGAATATCTAATCGTTGCCACATTATATTAATACATAATAAAGCTAGAACTAGGTATAAAAGAAATTAAACAAACAAACAAGAAAGAAACAATTTTCACAGACGATTGAGTATCTCATTGAATTTCAGTCTCACTTCGCGACAAGGCAAAAATACTAAAAATCAAAATATCTATATTAAAAATACGAAGTAAATTCAACGCTTATTCCTCGAAAAAATTCCAGAAAAGATTAAGCATGATTTAATTGGCATAATAAATGAATGCGTTATATTTTGTTGCCGAAGCTAAGTTTCTCTAGATGGCAAACAAATCCACTAGTCTCCTGTTTCAATGTAAACACAATGGCGCCATAAAAAACAGGCTTAGCGGCACTTAAACAAATTTAAAATTGTGACAATTCTAAAAAATTGCCACCAGATTACAAAGGCATAAAAACCGGAAAGAAGCAAAAAAATTGTACAATTTACAAACATAAGAGTAAAGAAACTGAGATCACTGAGCCGGGAATAGAGTGGATATATATATATAAATATATTTATATAGTTTGGTGCGGCCGATAGCAACCAAAATACGAGATGCACATCTACATGTTATAGCAGTCCTATATATAAAATTTCAACGTTCTGAGGCTACTCGTTTTTGAGTTATGCGAGATACGCACGTACGTACATACATTCGTACGCACGTACGTACGTACGCACGTAGGTACATACGTTCGTACATACGTTCAGAATTAATTTTAAAGTAGTTTTATAAATTTTTGAAGGAAAAGAGTATTTTATTCTGCCCTTACGTACAGATATCACGCAAAAACCTCGTTAAATTGCATTCGATAGGGGTCAAAATGGATATTTTCGTTGAAATATGCTGCTTGAAACTTTTCGCGATTACAATACTTCCTTTTTACTTCGTACAACGAAGTAAAAAGAGTGTTAGAATATGTATTGTTGAAATTAAGGGTAAACCAACCTGATAAGTATAATTAAAAGTATTATTCCCCTTCATTTTATAATAACTCAGTTACAAGTTTTAAATAATATTAAAAAAAATCTCCTTATTTTATTCCCTTTCAGAAATATTCAGAGAAAGTTATGTACTTTTTACCGCATTTCATTATTAAAATTAAGGATGCTGTAATTTAAAATGGACCGAATAGAGCATTAATTATATACTGACTAAATTTTTCAATTTAAAAGGTACCTCAGAAGCTAAAAAAATTGTCTATTTGAGAAAGTATTTTAGGAAGAAGCTCTGTAAATAGAAAAGAATATTGCATAATTTTAATATTATTAGTACAATAAATTTTGATCCTAATTTTTGTAATCCTAAACTGAATAAAATCGAATTACCTTAAAATTTTTTCTAATGTAATTAACGAAAACTTGTGAAAATATTTCATTCAAATTAAACAGTTCTGAACAAACTTGTTCGGTGAAAAGTATAGCATTTTATTCCGTTCAGAATGAAATACTGTTTAAAAATGTACTTTTTTCATATACTTAGGACTCTGAAATATTGTAGGAAAGGAAAATATATACATTTATGCTTATATTTACGACGTAATTGCAAAATAATTACATCGTATCAATTGGACTTAATGGTAAAACGCATTGAACTTATTGGTAAATTACCCAATGTTCTGGTCAAAACGAAGGGATCGCCAGTGCTTCAAAACAGTGTATGGGGGTAACCGGTTTGGGTCTCTCCTTCTTACTTCCTACCTCCATGGTTTTAAATCCCTAACTCCTAATCTAGCTTTGCCCCCGAAGCCCGTTGAGGAGCATGTCTGAATGCATGCCTCTACAGTTGCTGAGAGTTTAAAACTATGAAGCCATTTGTGAGTAGCTAAGATGCGGAAGTGTTGCTTCGATTCAAATTTCACAAAATGCGATCTCCACAGACAAAATTGAACGAAATCTTGCATACATCAGATTCAGTTTTAGGATCGTAATTTCAACTATTAAATATTTTTCACTAAAAACTATAGGTTCCAAACTATGCGGGAAGTATCCAATTATCCGCTATCTTGACAAGAAAAGATTAGTTTGAAATTGAAGAAGAGTTAGCAATAAATGATGCTTTTTTTTTTTTTTTTAATTATGCTTCCAACTTCAGCAATAGATATGGAGCGAAGTTTCTCTCTGTATGAAACCCTATATAATGACAACAGAAAATCTCTCAGTTTCGAAACGTCAAGAAGCACTTCTGTGCAACTGTAGCAGATTTGTATATGGTTGAAAATTTAGTAGAAAAAATATAGTTCAGATTGAGAAAACTGTTTGGGTTTTATCCATTTGTCAGTGTTGGTGTGTCATCTTTTATATTATTATTTTTTATTCTGTTTTTTTAAAATTATTTTTAAGGGTATTATAAGCAAAATTTTATTTGGTACCTTCTGTTCGTTAATACTAGAGGAATTCACGATCATATTTTCTGACTATGAAATAGTAGACCAGCCTTGGAATAATAAAAAGGGCATTTTCTTATGATCGATATAAAGTTCACGCAGATCGTATCATATAAAAAATATTATTAAACGTTTCTTTCATAGTAAACGATGAAAATCACGTTTCCCACCGTAGATTTATAACGCTTGAAAGTAAGTATTATTATGCTCATGTGGGCTTGCCGATTAAATAAATTACATTGAACTATTTACTTTTATGTAATGGTTAATGTTTGAGTGTAAAAGTTCGAGTAGTATAATATATACACATGCGGTACTGGAAAAAAAGTGAATTACTTGATTGGCAAAAAAAAAAAAAAAAAAAAAAAAAAAAAAGAATTAATAACATCTGGTAGAGTGAAAGTGTACATAATATGAATTCTGAAACATTTTCACTCCTTCAAACCAGGTATTTCAATCAACAAACATATATCTCTATTAGCATAAATATCTGAAATGTTCTTGAATGAAGAGAAAGCAAATAAACACATCACAGCAAAATGTTTTTTTTATTGTTTCATTACTAGTCTACAATTATTTGGAGATAAAGTATTACACATGCTGGCGAAATATGAAATTTTGAGAGGTGTATTTGGAATGCGTTGCTATGGTATTAAAGCCAAGTCTTCGGTAAAGTCGTTTCCCATTGTGCTGCTAATTTGGAGTATCATTTTATGGAGTTTTAACCTAGAAATAAAATAAAATTACGAATTGAATTATTAATTTATGTAAGAGATACACAAGACATGATACATCTCACGGACTGATTACAAATAAGCTTTTATGACTTAAATTAGCATTATTACTTTCATAGATTTGTCGTTGATTGCTTTTTGTGATGATAAAATTCACTACTTTCATTTATTTGAAATTACATTAAGCTAATGTTTGATAAATGGGTTTTATTAATTAATTTCTCATTTTTAACTCTAAGGTATATATTACAAATGATGCTTGATATAAAAGTTTGATATTCATAGCTGAGTACCCAGCGCTTATTGAAATCACTTCCGTTCGAAAACCATTGAGCCTATTAAGTGGCTGAATTTAATAGACAGTAATTTTTTATTGAAAATTGTGATAACATTTTTTAACGTATCTAGTAAGATAAAAAATAACTAAACTATTTAAGGAATTTTGAAATTTGTTAATTAACTTTGTTACAGTGTAGAGTTTATATTTATTTTAACTAACATTTATTTTAAGTTTAAACTATCTTTCCTGTCAAGCCTTACTTTCCCCTGGAACTGCCAATGCCAGAATATGTAAATTTGAGTAGAACGCGCAAGGATTCAAATTATCAGCGGAAGTAGTATGATTTAAATAGAAGGAAACGAGTTCGGTGAGAGAGTTATTCTTACTTAGCGAGCGCGGAGGTAGAAATCGAGAATTGAAGAACCCCGCGTTGCGGCCTATGTGCTTGGCGGGAAGTAGTTGCAATTGTTCCAGTGAGCTTCAAGTCTGCTGAATTAGCAGCGGTATTGTAAAACGCGGTGAGTTAGTTATTTTAGAGAGCCTCGTAGTTAGAATATTGTCTTTACTTTCTTTTCAGGTTATTATTTTTTATTTGACTGCCTAGTTGGCACCAGTCTGTAAGCGTCAAGAGGACGCATTGTAATTATTACGTTGAATAAAAAGGGACTTAAACCCTTTATAAGACTCTGTGGTTTATACAAGCTTTCACAGTCACCTCTTGGTTGCGTGCTAGTTAGAGGCGCGCAACGTTATATTGGCGCCCGAACACTTATCGAACTGAAATGGCCGAAAACTGGATGGAAGCCGCTGGACAACACCAAGAAATGACAACGCAGTTAGAAGGATTTGGATACCTGGTCCAGACTTTGAGAGCATCAATCAAGCCAAACGTCTATTTCGACGGAAAAAATTCGGTGTCCGTATTTTTAGAAGGTATAGAAAACCACTTTCAGCTCTATCCTGTGCCTGAAAGACAAAAAGTTGCCTATCGCCACATCAGCACTAAGAGGACAGGCCGCGCTATGGTGGAAAAAATATAGGCAAATTTCTTCTAGGTGAATTTGGAAGCCCGACGTATACATTTGAAAATTTCAAAAAATCGTTAGTAAAGGCCTTCCCCATAGTGAAAGATCGCGCACGGCTGGAAGCCGAGCTATATAGTTTCTATCAACGGGATACAGCACAATTGACGGACTTTATTTTACGAAAAATCAAGCTAACGGATATGTTGTATGGGAAAAAACCCGATGCGGAGATTATTGAAATAATATTACCAAGATTGTTACCCGCTGTTCAAGACTACTTTGAAATTAGAAACCCAACCACATTGCAGGAACTTTTCGAATTGGCGGTGAAAGTTTCAAAATCGCAGAATAGCGGAAAAGAGCGAGAGGGGAAACATATTCTCAAAGTACCAGAAGGAAGGAGGAAACCAGAAATGGAAATCGCTCATATGGGGGAAAGAACTATCAAGCTAACGCATCGAAACTCGAAGGTCAAGGCCCAAAAAGAAAATTTGAAAATAAGCATCCGCGTACCCAGAAGACACAGATTGAAAGGAAAGCTTTAAACGACTAGAGGGGCCTGTGAAAGGGAGGGTCCAGACCCCGGAAGTTTTAGAAAAACCCTCAAATAGACATCTAAATACAGTCATCGTAAAAAACTCACAGCTACCAATTATACAAGTCCTGGTTGGCGATGTACCAGTAGAAGCCCTCATCGATACAGGGGCAGAAGGAAATTTCATGAGTGAAAAGTTCTTCAAAAAGAATTTTTATAGGATACGACTTTTTAAAACCAGAAATACGGAAATTATAGCGGCGCAAGGAAAAACATGTCACTGCATCGGGAAAGTATCATTAAACTTACAGGTAAAAGAGGAAATCTCAAAGTATTAATTTTTGTGGTGAAACACCTCCAACACTCTCTTATTTTAGGTATGGACTTTTTAAGGGCCGCGAGGGCCAAATTAAATTTTCAAGATAGTTCCGTGGTGCTGGAGATGGACCAGAGGGTGGTGGAACCGGTGGAGACACCTGAATTGGACCTTAGCCATTTGAATGACCAGGAAAGTAAAGCAATACAGCAAGTGGTGAGTAATTTTTCTCATTTGTTTTCAGAAAAACCGGGAAACTGTCAGATAGTGACTCACAAGATTCAATTAAATGCCGAAAAACCTTGTAGGACTAAACCTTATCGCTATGACAAACAAAAAGACGTAATCATCGAAGAACATATTCAGGAGATGTTAAAGAATAAAATAATAACGCCCATAAATAGTGAGTACGCGAGTCCAGTCGTACTATGTAGGAAAAAGAACGAGTTTCCTCCTTCGGATAAAAGGGCTTGGAGGTTTGCTATCGATTACAGAAAACTAAATAGCATTAACTAAATTTCCAGTTTACCCTTTGCCGGTTATAGACGAGATCATTAGACAGATCAAATCGACGAGATATATGTCTACTTTGGACTTAACGTCTGGCTACTATCAAATAGCTATGAGACCCGAAGATATACATAAAACCGCGTTTATAACAAAATCGGGCACTTATGCATTTTTACGCATGCCTTTTGGGTTGTGTGGGGCCCCATCAACATTCCAGAGAGCTATGGACATTGTTCTAAAGCCTGTCCTAGGAAAATCAACTTTAATTTATCTAGATGATATAATTATAACGAGTAGTACGTTGGAACAACACATTAATGATCTCGAACAAGTTTTTAAATTATTAAAAGAGGCCGGTCTTACAATTAACGCCTCAAAATGCAAGTTCGCAACTAAAGAACTTAAATATCTCGGTTATAAAATTTCGCAAAAGGGTATAGAAACGCAAGATTCAAAAATAAAAGCTATTAAGAATTTCCCACCGCCCAACACCGCCAAGAAACTTTCGTCTTTCCTTGGACTATGTTCTTACTATCGATCTTTCATAAAAGATTTCGCTAATATTGTTGAACCACTCTTAGTAATCAAAAGAAAAAAGAGTAAATTTACGTGGACAGCGGAAGCTAACACAGCTTTTGAAAGATTAAAAGAAGCGCTTATTAATGCCCCTGTTTTAAAATTCCCTGAGGGGGACGAAAACCTGGAAATTGCGGCAGATGCATCAGACTATGCGGTGGGTGCGGTTCTTATGCAAAATAACCATCCGCTGGCATTTTTTAGTAAAACATTGAATCAAACACAAAGGAATTATACAGCTACAGAAAGAGAAACATTAGCCGTATTAATGGCTGTACACAAATTTCGAGTTTATTTCGGCAAATCGCCAGTAACAGTCTTTTCGGATCATGCGGCTGTTGGTAGACTTTACTCGGGAAAAAACCTAACGCCCAGGTTAATAAGATGGGCTTTAAAACTCCAAGAATATAATATCACAATAAAATATAAACCGGGTAAGGAAAACAATGTAGCTGACGCACTTTCTCGTATAAAACTGGACGATGAAGGAAATGAACTTAAATGCGCTGTGTTGACTTCAAAAATTTTAGATTCTAGAGATACGGTTATTACTGAACTGAAAGCTGATCCTGAATTTGGAAATATCTATGCTTATTTGAAAGACCCCGAAAGCTTTGAGCATACAGATATCGATGCGATAAGAAATAGAGCAAAAAACTATGAAATAATAGATAATTTATTATTCTATACGAAAACAACAAACGAAAATCTTGAGTATAAGCCAGTCATCCCAGCCTCGCTTCGATTAAGCATTTTGAAGGAGTTGCACGAAAAAAAAACAGCGGGCCACCTCGGGGTCAGAAAGACTTTAAAAAGGGTACGCGAGGCGGTATATTTCCCGCAATTATACAAAATAGTAACGGCGTATGTCAGGTCCTGCAATCAATGTCAGTTAATAAATGATATTAATTACAGCCCGGCCGGGTACTTAAATAGCATTCGCGCTACATTTCCGAATGAAATTTTAGGCATAGATCTCCTTGGTCCCTTCCCCCAGAGCGAGTTAAAATAAAAATCGTTTTCTTTTAGTAATAGTAGATCATTTTTCAAAATGGATAGAAATTGTTCCACTTAAACGCGCGTCAGCCAAAACAGTCGCAGATGCATTCTTACACAGATACATTTTAAAATACGGTGCACCGATAAAAGTCATTAGCGATAACGGAAAACAATTCATTAGTCAAATATTTGAAAACATATGCAATGGACTTGATATACGCCATATCAAAATGGTTCCGTATAGACCACAGGCTAACATAGCAGAAAGAGTTAATAAAAACATTAGTAAAAATAATTCGCAGTTACGTTAGCACACATCACAAGCGCTGGGATGGCTACATAAATGAATTAGCTTATGCTTTAAGAACGGCACATCATGATACTACGGGAAAAACTCCAGCAGAATTATTTTTAGGCAGAAAGTTAATTACGCCTTTAGATAAATTATTCTTTGTGCAACAAAGAGAGCAGGAATTTAGACAAAAAGACGTGCAAAAGCTAATTGATCAGGCGCTTAAAACCTCGGATACGGCAAGAAATAGGCAGAAACTTTATTATGATAGAAAACGCCGTGAAGCAGATTTTAAAGTTGGGGATAAAGTATTGAAACGGAAATTTTCTTTATCAAGTGCCCCAGACAATTTTATGGCAAAGCTAGCTCCAAAGTTTGAAGGCCCCTATGTAATTCAGGAAATCAAAGGAGTAGTCTTATATCTTAAAAACGAGAGAGGGGAAATCTGTAAAGCAAGTC